GTATATATATATATATATATATATATATATATATATATATATATATATATTCGGGTAATAAACGTTTGAATAAATCGACGGTGAAAAAAATTATTCGAGTTTAATTAATTAAACGGTTAATAATAATTTTATTATTATTATTATTTTTTTTTTTGTGTTCGATTCACTCATCGATTGGTTTTTTTTTCCTGTTGTGTTGGTAGCACTGTTTGATTGTTTAATTATTTGTATTTCGAAAAGGTAAGAAGACATGTTAAATCCTTTATATAAAAGTTTACATTGAAGCATAAGGTTAATAATAATCGAATTTTATTAATTTATTTTTTTATTATTAAATTATTTATTTATTTAAAAAATTTAATAAATTAATCAACCAATAGAAAAATAACAAACCTTTACATTTCCCCTAATAATAATAATAATAATAATAATAATAATAATAATAATAATAATCGTTTCGTTTTTTAAACGTTAATTTAATTATACTTAATTATTATTAATTTTATAATTTTTTTTTTTTAAATTTTTATTAACGATTTATGCATGACAGTGAGTAATCTTAATAATTAATCGATTATTAATCAATAAATAAATTTTTTAAATGAAATTTTAGTGATTCTCTTAAAATAAAAAGTAAAAAAAAGAACCTGTTAGGGTTAAAATTTTTTTTTTTTTGTTTCAACCTTACTTAAATATAATTCATTCATTCATTTCTTTTTTTTTTTTTTTTTAAAGTACGTAAGATTTTTTTTAAACAATATAAATGAAAAAAAAAAAGGATGCTGGGATTCATCTTTTTTGGTTCGAAAAATAGAAAAAAAAAAAAAATCTTCCTGTTTACTCTGACATAGAAAATAATGTCTTCAAAGGTGGTTGACGTGTGAATAACATTTTGCAGATACCAATTTTATTTTCCAAGTATTTTTTTATTTTTTTTTTAATGGGGGGGATCATTTATTATAACTTATGAATACTTGAAATTTTTTTTTCGTATTAAATAAAAAAAAAAAATTGATAATGAATTTTAATTTAATAATAATAATAATAATAAAAAATAAATAAATGTAAGACATTGTGATTCTCGTATATAAACGATTTATTCTATTTACTAAAGTTCTTTGACTCCGCCTTAAATTCATTTTTAAACGTTTCTAATTGCGGCAGTGACTCTTTTTAAATTTTTTTCTTTTCTTTCTTTTCGTTCTCCCTTTCTTTTTTTTTAAACAAAAAAAAACCCCGATTCTGCGCTTTTTACATTTAATAACCTTTCTGTAATTTTTCTTTTCCTGATGCATAAAACAAAAAACAATTTTTTTTTTTGTTAAAATTACGTAAACATTATCCGCATTAAGCACAATGCAACGGTTTATTGACGTTTTTCCCCCTTCCTCGTACTACGAATTACCAACGTAAACTTTTTTTTGTTTTTATTTACTCTATGACTTTATTTTATATACACACGCACTATATTTTGTATATTTACCCTTTGGGGATAAAAAAAAACAATGGCTACCATTTAATTTAATAAATTATCAAATCGAATTGATTTTTTTAAAATGATAATTTATAATATATTTATTTGTTAAACGTTGAGTCTCGTTCGTTATTTATTTATAATAAATAATTAAAAATAAAAAAAATTTTTAATTTTTTTTTAATTTTTGTTAGTTTTATTTGAAATTTAAACGTTCATTAAATTTTCCAGGTCGACGCTCCCTCTTTTAATTTTTTAAAGCTCCGCCTACATTCCAATGAATTCTATCCGAGCCAAAACTAAAACATTTTTTTTTAACAACATACAACAACAAATTTAACTTTTACAAATTTTTTTCTTTTTTTTTTTTTTAATAATAAAAAAAAAAAATTATTGTAATTGTTAAATCCTCTCATTGTAATTTTGTCCATTATGTAATTGATTCGGTGATGAATATCGTAAAATTTATTTTTCAAAAAAAGTCATGGAGTTAAAAGTTTTTAAAAAATATACCTCTACCTGATTGTTGTATACCTGTTTTCAAAGGATTCATATCATTGGTACTACCTAAAAAAAATAAAAATACCTGAACGAATGATCCAATCAACAACTGATGTTAAATAAAATAAGAAACAAAATGTAAGATTTATTAATTTTGTCAGCCATTTTGTTTTTTAAAAAATTGTTGATTTACATGGTTTTTAAAGGTACAGTTTTTTATAAAAAAAAATGAAACCTTTTTTTTTTTTTCATTATCATTTATTTCAAATAATTCAAAGGGAAATTTTCAAAACTGACAATTTTTTTTTTTTTTTTTTTTAAATGATCAAATAATTTTTATTATTCCTGAAATATGTTATTATACAATAAATTATTATTATTATTTTTTCAATTGTAAAATTAAATTTGAATTTAATTTTGAAAAAAAATTAATTTATTTATTTCTGTTTTAATTTTTTTTTTTTTTTTTTTTTTGGTTTTTCCTCAACGGGGGATCCCTTAATTTTTTGTAAATTGTTTACATTATTCATTATGTTTACATTAAAACTTGCTACTTAACAAAGTTCTTACATGCGTTCCAGTGCCGTCTTCCGGTTTTCAAAATATCATTCGAATTTTATTTTAAATTTGCCAATATGTATATAAATAATAAAAAATAAGTAAAATTAAACATGGCGTAAAAAAAAAAAAAAAATAGTTCATCAAAGTGTCATTCGAACATAATAATGCTTTTTAATAGAATTTTTTTTTTAAAACTCTTCGTTAAACATTTTAAAAGAAAATTTTTTTTTTTTTTTTTTAAATATATTGCGTACTTGAAATTGCGGTTATAAATTTTATATATAAAAAAGTTAATAAATAAATAAATAAATAAAATTTTTTTTTTTTAAATTTTACAATGAACTAATAATAATAATAATTTTTTTCAAAAGGAGAAGAAAATATAAATTTAAATTATAATTGATTCAGACTAAATTATGTGACAGACGTCTTGAGTGGTTAAATCATTATTATTATTATTATTATATGTTGATGATGAAGTTTCAAAAAAAAATGGTTTAAATGATTTTCTTGTGTTTTCATTTAAAAAAAAAAAAAAAAAAAAGGGTGTTATAATAA